ATGACAACTAAATGCAGTCTGTGATTCTGAATCCTGTAATGGAGGTTTTGAAAAAAAGCCACAAAGGACATTACTCAATAAATTGACAAAAATGGAATATGAATGGGAGATTAGTTAAAACTTTTATGTCATTGTTAAATTTACTGAAGGGGATAAATAACTGTACTATATGTAAGAGAATCTTCTTTTTCTTAAATACACAATGAAATATTCAAGGAGAAGGTGCATGATGCATGAAATGTATTTTCAAATATTCACAAATGTATGCATAGTTTTCATATATGTGTGTGTGTGCATATTCATATATAAAGAGAAAGGGAAGGAGACAAAAACAGAGACAGAAAGAGGAGAGAGATCCCAAATGGGTCAAAATGTTAGTAGGTAAGTCTGGATAAAGGGTACATGGTTTTTACCATCCATGCAACTTTTCCACAAGTTTAGTTATTTTCAAATAAATACATTTACAAAATGGACCATTGCCTGCTGTTCTGGATTTTACCTAACCTTTGAGATTTCTGCCTTTGATTCTTGCAGCTACCACCACCACCACCACCATACCCAAACCCCAGAAATGTGTAATGCCAGCTTTCAAAGTTATCTCACGTTCTGTCCCAGGCAAGAAACCTGGGATCCTCTGCACATTTCAACAGGAGTTTACAAAATGCTGTAGAAGAGCACCACCCGCTCCCCACCAACAAATTTTTTTCAATTAAACACAATACAAAAAAAAAAAAGAAGGAAAAAAATCAACATGTTTACAGCACGGAACCCCTAATTTTTCTTATCTGGTGCCACCAGGTCATCTGTCTTCTGGCATTTTGTGGTGTGAATTGGTTTGCCAGCACTTCGTCTGCTCTGCTCGCCAGTTACCATTCCTCCACCAGATTTCCGTCTTCCAAACATGTGTTGACATCTTTTGTCGTATCCTCTCTCCTTCTAGTCATCCTTAAGCACTTATTCTTTTTAAATCCTTTGTTTGAATAGTTTTATTGAAATATAGTTCACATACCATACAATTTACTCATTTAAAGTGTGTAATTCCATGATTTTTAGTATACTCACGGACATGTGCATCACCACAATTTTAAAAACATTTTCATGACTTCAGAAAGAACCCTGTAACCTTTAGCTATTACCCGCCACCCTTCATCTCCCAGCTCTAAGCAACCATTAATCTACTTTCTGTCCTCTCTTGGTTTCCCTATTCTGAACATTTCACATGAATGGAATCATATGTGGTTATTTGTGACTGGCTTCTTTCACTTAGCATAAAATTTTCAAGGTTCAGCCATGTTGTAGCATGTATCAGTGCTTTTTAATGCCAAAAATATTACACTGCATGGATATACCATATTTTATTTACCCATTCATCAGCTGATGGACATCTGGGTTGTTTCTGCCTTTTAACTCTTAGGAATAATACTGCTATGAACATTCATTTACAAGTTTTTGTGTGGACATATGTTTTCATTTCTCTTGAGTATATACCTGGAAGTGGAGTTGCTGGGTCACATAGTAATTCTATGTTTAACATTTTGAAGCGCTGCCAGACAGTTTTCCAAAACAGCTGCACCATTTTTCATTCCCACAAGCAGTGTATCAGGGTTCCGGTTTCTCTGCATTCTCACCAACACTTGTTTTAATCTGACTTTTTGTTTCTAGTCATTCTTGTGTGTGTGAAGTGTTATATCATAGTGGCTTTGGTTTTCATTTCCCTGATGGCTAGAGATGTTGAACCTCTTTTCACCTACTCTTTTTTTTTTTCATCTACTCTTGCTTTGAATGGCATTTGGGGAAAGAGAGAAGATAAACAAGTGTGTTTTATCTACTGTGTTTAACTTGCAACACAATAGCTCATTTTAACTATGTGACAGGAAAAATATTTTCTTGTAAATATTTGAAAACACATATAATGATGTCAAGTCTTTATCAACATGCACAGTTGACTACTTCTATTCTTTCTGCATGTTATAGTTACTGTGTGATTAAGGGAAAGCAATATTGTGCACTGAATTTGATCTGTAAGATTACTTCCTCTACGGGGTTGAGGGAGGAATTCATTCAAATGACTCCTCAGGGTTGACTAAAAGGCAGAGCAGAACTGATTGCCAGAGCCTCTAAAGCACAATGCTTTTGTGTCACCAATGCTGTGTACGTCTGTTGTGAATAACTGTGTACCACAGGTGATAAATATCAAAGAAATGTGAGAGCTTTGACATGGGCACATAGCATATGTCTTAAGAGATAGATGACAAGACGTTTAAATGGGCTTTTACACTTTAATCAGTGTAAAAGATGGGATGTATCACACATGCCAAATGATAACTGTGAAAGCTCGGTGAGGAGTGTATGGGAGGTTACACTGTTCTGTCTGCTTTCGTGCATGTTTAAACATTTTTGTACTAAACAGCTTTAAAAATAATAAAAGATGTAGAGTGACTCATAAGGAGAGGGAGGGAGCAAAACGATACCTGGCCAGGGTGATCGGTCCATCAAGACTAGAGTTTAGCTATCTCTCAATAAGGACATTTCAGGAAGTGTAATTCCTTTGAGGTTGGGAAAGAAACTTCTTTCCATATAACAGGAAGGAGGAAGGAAAAGAGGAATGGGAAAGTTTTTTTTGTTTTTTTTTTAAGGATTTTGATGAAAATTTCCCATCTCGTGACTTCTAGTTCCTCTGTGAATGGTGGCTTGGCACACCTGCTGAGCAAGTGGAGATGGCCTAAATTTGAGAAAAGTGAAAGAGATTTGAAATAGATTTGAGTAGCACCAGAGAGAAAATGGACTAAGGAAACAGTGACCTAAGTTCCATTGTTTTGTTCACATGTAAGCAAGCATGGAATAAGAATCTGTGGAATGGATGCATTATTTCCAGGTAGTATGAGGGCTGAATTTATCATGGCATCAGTAGACTTGATTGTGAGATTTCATCCAATAGTCATCAGCTACTTATGGGAAGGTATTTCTGGAAAAGGCAGAGATAGGGGATTTTGCCAGACAGGAAGGATTAAAGGTGATTGGATGGGGCCTATTTGTAGTGGAGCTTTTTAAATGTTGATAGACCGCCAAGCCTACCTTGGAGAGAGAGAAAAAGAAGACAAGAGCTTGGTGGATAGAGGAAGAGTAAGTGGAAAAACGACCTAAAGTTGAAAAATTAACAAGTAGTATATAAGCTGGAAGGATGGAGGATGAGGCCAAAGGGTGGAATGTCAGACTGTATTATTCCAGGTGGCAGAAGTGTTCCTGGTAATAAGCTCTACAGTGTGGCAGTGACTGCACTGGAATGGAAGTAAAAATGAGATGACGTAGGAACAGGGAAGCTGGGTTATTGACAGGTCTATCCACATGGAGGTTAGAGCCCTCCACCACTCCTCACCTCTTCATGTTCCCCACCCTGGGCCCCCTCCACCTTTTGTCCCTCTCCCGGGGGCTCCACGGAATCTGCCTTCTCTCTGTGACCATAAGCTTCAGATATTGTAGGATCAATGTCATAACTCTGGATAAGAAAATAAAATTAGTGAGAGAAGGCTGTAGTGCACATCTATTTTTGGTTTTTTGTTTTAACACCCAGTATCCGTAAGTCTTTCTGGAAAAACTACCTCAAGTGCTCTCTAGGATACTCACCCTATTTTTGAGTCCCAGTCTGTACAAGTAGAGTTGCCTTCCCTCTAGACCTCATTGTAAGGGTGGGTATGTGTGGTGCAGCCTTGGCCAAAAAAAGGAGGTCCATGGTAAGCCCCCAAATGTCTGATACCCCAGTGCATAGTCTAGGACTCACCTCTGGTTCATGAGCTGCAGGTATCCTGGGGGAGGCGTACCATGGCTCCACCAAGGCTATGAATATCAGTGGTGGCACCTTCATCTTGACTGGTGAACTGTACACACTAAGGGCGATACCTTGTATATTCCCATCAAGCATAGATGGAAAGAAAGCACCGCGATCACCTTCCCCAGAGAGGGGGATGCCATCTTGATGACATCCTTGGAGATACTGTTTTAGTACTCAAAGGCACCCCCGTGCCCTTTTGATATAAGGCATCAGTGTGCTGTGCAGTTCTCTGGTCAGCCTCAGGGACATGGTGCTTGGATCAGATTGAGGAATGGGGGAGCAGGACAGGGTCAGGATATGGGAATGATGAGGCATGAACTTTGTTCCACCAGTAAGGACATTCTTTCTCTTCACTTTTTCTTACTTTCCCACTCCCTTTAAGACATCTTTTGCTTACTCTCAGCTGTATTTTACCCTGGGAGGTAGGTGGCTGCCTGGTCAACATTCCTACCACTGACAGCTGAGTGGTGCTTTTCCTCTGCCCAAAAAAAATGTCATCAATTGAGCAGCCCGAAAAAATACCCAGGGAGGGGAACCACTTCCCCAGGGTGCCTTTCTAGTAAGGAAAGCGCCACGTCAAGTTTAAAGTATGCTCTCCCGATACATTGACATGACCCACATCACAGATCCTCAAGCGGCTGCTGTGCTGTTCCTGGACCCTACGGCAACTAGCCCAGGGTCCAGTAGAGCAACACCTCCGCCCACATAGTGCCATTCAGGGTTCAGCCCCCTGTAGCAGCCTCTGGTCACTGAGTTCTAAGTAACGATTAAGCTGTTGTTTCTTCTTCAGCATTATTTTCAGAAAGGATACCTGTCCTTAACGCTCCTCAGGTATAAAAGACCTATCTTCCCTACTTCTCTAAAGGATATAAAACGTTCAGCGAGGGGGGAGATGTGGGCTGCTATACAATTTCATTAAGGCTAAGCTAAGCGGCAGAAGACAAAGCCCATCTCCTCAAATTTCATCAGGGAGGAAATGGGCTTTGGGGTGGGGGGTGGGGTGGCGGGGTTCAGCAAGAACTCCAGAGGACTGGTCACCTTTTAGCCAAAGCCAAAGGAAGCAATCAGTAAGAGCTGAACTATCTCCTTCCTTTCCCTTACACATAAGCCCTGAGTTACCCAAAACCCATGCCCCCAACACAGTACACAGAAAAGATACACTATTATTAGATAACTATTTATTTGGGAGAATCAATAATCTCCACAAGGAAGGAGTTATTTCTGGATGGGAAGTCTTCCTCCCTGGGAATTGTGGAGAATTGTTTTCTGTCTAAAGAGTAGAGACCGATGTCCAAACACAGTGCCTTCAGCAGTGCTGAGAGCAGCCGTGGGTGCCTGGCCAGCTTGATGCCTGTGGGTGGGGCTTGGATGGGGCACAGGCTCCCCGTGGGACACTGGTGGGAGATGTCTGTGACATAGTTGCTGGTCCTTGAATGCCACAACTTTCTGGGGGTGTCTCTTCTTATCTCTGATCTGTCTTGTACTTGGAGGATAACTCTGGCCAGCAAAGATAGGACTTGATATTTGATGGCAGGACTTGGTATTTGTCACTTTACAGGAGGGAGCCCTGTAGTTGAAAGGATGTCCCTGGACAGGCTGTGTCCGGACCTGCACTTCCGCCTTTTGCTGAGTTTTCCTCACCTGCACTGGGGGAGGACGGGGCCCTTGAGAGCAGGTGACATCAATTGCATGCTGACACCCCAGTTTCTCCACTAGGAACTTCCCGTTGTCTGTCACGATTTTCTGAGCTTCAGTTGTCCCAGTAAAGGCAGCTTTACTTTTAACTAGGCCTCTGTTCTGCACAGTTGATATGGGGCTGCCCTTTTCCTGGGCATCTTCTTGACTTTTGTATTCTATCCCAGAATAAAGCCATTGCAAGAAGTGCATCATTCTTTTTCCGTTATGGCCTTCAGGAAGAGGCTGTCCCTTCTGTGACAGGGTCTGGGAAGACTTGCTCGCAGGTGTCTGCCCTAGTACCATCTCCTGAGTAGGGAAACTCTTCCTCCTAAGTTGGGATGTCCCCAAGCCTTTATCCCCTCCATCAAGCTCTTTTGCCTTGGGCTCCAGAGGGCTCACTCCCTTTGCAGTTGGTGGGAAGTTCTTATGCTGGCACCTCCTTAAGGCCTGCTTAGGGGCCCAAGGTTCCTGCTGCTGCTCCATCCTGATTCCTCTGTCCTCCAAATGGACATGCAGCACGTGGGAAGCTCCCATGTCCCCACCTGAGACACCTTGGGCATGAGTCAGTGAGGCCTCGTAAGTCAAGTTATCTGAAGCAAGGGATGTGTCAGTGGGTTGGCCTTGAGCCTGGCTATGCTCCCTGTTCTCCAGTTTAAAGTTTAACTCACGGAACAGTTGTTCTTTAAGGTCTAATGATTTAGGATCTTGGCGAACTGGTAATTTGGGTGGGGGGCTTCCAGTGGTCACGGTAGTTTCTGCTTTATTCTCATTCACATTTATCATTTGGGAGCTCCCTGGCTTGCTAGTTGTCACCATGTCACTAGTTTTTAATTGAAGAGGATCAAGCTCTTCAGCCATGAATACCTCCCTAGACAATTTGGGCATGGAAACAGGTTCTGACTTTGCCACCTTTTTGCCCCGTTGCATTTCTCCTTTATCACTGGAACTCACACTCTTATGCTTCGGCTCATATCTGGCCCCAGCTTGCTTTGCAAGCAGCTTTTGGGGATTTCTGTTGGCTAGTTGAGTCTGTCTATGACCTGCTTTCCCTGTGATGCGGAGTGAAACAGACAGACGAGTCTGTCTGGCATCCTTAATTCTCTGAACATCCTCTGCCAGCCCACGGTTGACATCAGAGCGTGATTGTCTCAGGACCCGCTGTCCTCCTTTGCCCACAGGCGAGGTGGCAGGGAGAGAACGATCCAGGACAGGGGCTGAATTGGTTGTTGCCACTTTGTCTCCATGGAGAGATTCAGAGCTTCCTCTAAAGGACTTGAAGCTCCCAGATTTGGAGTCTGCCTCAGAAATCACATTGGTTGAGGAGGGCAAGTTGGCATGAGACAAGGACTGGGATGAGGCATCTTTCAATTTAAAGATCCGTATGGATTTAAGGACCTTGCGGGGAAGGGCCCACAACATCCTCATACGAAACCTTTTAATATGGGCTTCCAGCATCTGTTGTGTATTGGAATCAACAAAAGTCAGGTCCTGGAAGGTATTCAGGGAGTAGGCCACACCCACTGATGATGGCAAACTTCTCTGTTCTGTTTGGGTGTGGGATTTCACAGAAAGAAGCAATGTTTGCTTGATAGCATGCCATGAATTATGCACAGTCCCAGGGAGCCGACCCTCATTTATTTCTCCAAACTTCTTGCTCAAATGTACTTTTAGGACATTTTGAAGTTGTCTCTGACCTAGACTCTCTGCTGACATCCTTGAATTTTTCTCTGAGAGACTCACCATCTGACTGTTTAGGTCTTTCTCAGAGTCATACCCCAGATCCTTACCTGAAGAGCTCTTTGGGTCATTCAACAGGTGATCTTTTGGGCCATTCTCTAGGCTGTGTCCCAGATTCTTCCCCACACCTTCCTCTAGCTGGAACATTTCTGAGCTCCTCTCATGGAAGCCTCCAGTTTGGCTCAATCCAACATTTACATTTTTGCTACTCTGACCCTTAAACACAGAGATCAGTGAGACTCCATTACTGCTCACCGACTCAGATGCCTCTGAAAAACCATTTGGAGGCAATATCAGTGACACAGACTCGTAGATTCTGCGGGGCAGGCCCCACCGGTGTTGGATGAGCCTCTTTCTAAGGTGATGCTCTAGTTTCTTCCGAACTTCATCACTGAGAGGAAACTCCCCAGGAAGGATGGAGATTGAAACATGGGCCTGGGGGGCCCGGTGGCGAGGAGTGTTAGGAGCTGATGGACAAAAGTCTTCCCAAGATCTTTGGACCACAGAGGGTAAACCCCACAAATTTTCCTGTTGTTTCTGTAAAATGTTCCATTCCAGCTGTTGAATTTCAGATGAGGAGAGAGACTCGGACTCATCCTGAGGTCTGTGGAAACTTACTCCACAGGTCCTGATCTGGGGTAGAGGATCAGATGGTATGACTGGGAGTGGAGACTGAGGGTCGGCCTGGGACTGGACCTGAGTAAGAGGTAGGGGCTGAGATTGAGGCAGGGTTTGAGGCAAGGGCTCAGGCTGAATCTCAGGCAAGGACAGAGGCAGGGGATCAGGAAGCACTGGTGATTCTCGGCCTGTGGAGGCATTCGAGTTTCTATTGAAAATAAAGATTGAGGAACTGTCAGCCAAGACATGAACAGCAGAGGGCAAGGACTCGCTGTGCAGAGACGGGAGGCCCCAGAAGAACTGGATAGGTTTTTGCTGTAAATGGTCCTCCAGGGTCTTAGGATATGGGGGCTGCTGCACATGCAGCTCCTCTGGTCTGTCTTTGCTGCTCCGAAAGGGAAGGCAGCCTGCCGAGTCATGCTTATCACCAGTTGACGCTAACATTTTCCATGAAGAATTTAGTTGGTAGACTGG